GCCGGCTTGAGGCGCGGTGTAATCTCGGTTCAAGGAGGCAGTGCGTGACCTGTGCATGCGGCGGTAAGGGCGCTCCTCGCCGCCTCCTGCCCAGAGCATCTTCAAATTGCCGGGAGTGCGTCGTGTGTCCTTGGATTTAGGGATTCTTTGTCTAAAGGTAGCCTGCAGGAAGCTAAAGCAAGGGCTACCTTTGCACTGTGAAATCTAAATGGAAGACAGCATTTGGTTTTGTAAGGATTTCCGATTTCCTCAGTCTTGGGATTATTTTTTTGTCCTTAGGATTTTCATTTCCTCAGTTGTACTATTTTGAGTAGCTCACTACTGGTTTTCCTTGCTTTCATCAGCAGGGTATAATGAAGCATCGTGTCAAGGAATACACTGCCTTCTCCTGTAAAGACAACTCAAAACGTGGAGAAACATCGCAGCACAAATTCTAAAAAAATAATACTAGGGAACCACTCTCTGAAAGAACGTGAAAACATTTTGGTTCCTCTTTTCTCTCTCTTTAAACTAAACCTTCTAGCATACACAGATCAAGAGCCCAGTTCACTGATCCTTACTGTCTTTCTAAAACCTGATGTAAGTGTTCCCTCTCGACTAGTATCTCTTGCCCTGAGCTTCAGTGGGCATAATGGAGACATGCCAGAATTAAATAGGAGTTTGTAGAGCTACGGTTAGTTCAAAATCAGGGCAGCCCTCCCTTGCCTCCAGTGAGGTGTCCCAAGTTAACTCAGGCCTCCTACTCCTGCTCTTGCAGATGCAGTTCTGCCATGCCCACTGAATATATGTTGAATCTCCTCCCCGAGACCTTGATCTCTGCCTGATTTTCCAGAGCCTTCCTCTAACTCCTCCCTCCAGCTCACTATTTACCTAATTTGTACTTTTTAGCTAAATAAAGTCATGCTTTGGAGCTTATCAAATGGACATCACAAAGATTTTGACTGTAATTCACAGGAGTTATTTAATCCAAATCATTCCACGGATATTATTTACATAGAAGTAAATCATCCAGTAATTAAATACAAGGAATCAATCAGATCCTGATTTGAAGGAAAAGGGACTGAAACACAGCATGTGGAAAATACCAAAACTGTAAAGGCTGAACTATCAATAGTGTCACTAGGACAAAGACCAGCATTCAGACAGTATTTGAAGTTCATGAATATCAAAATCGGTATTTTACACATCAAGGAGTATCACATTTTTGCTGACAATTGCTACCTGAGGTTTGGGAGCCGAAACAGAGACATTAGTGGGAGAATCATAAAGAAAGTTGTTTCTACAGGCCTTTTATGAATTTAACTACGCTGTCCAGTCCCTTTTTCCCAGCTGGAAATGACAAACCACAATAATCAAATAAGCTTATGATTCCATGGAATCCATCCTCGAGGTGGAACCAGGTCACTCGAACACCATTGTCTTCCAATCTCTTCTTGTAAAGCAAGCCATCGTCCCTCAGCACATCATATTCGCAAGTCAAGATGAAAGACTCAGGCAGCTGCTGAACAATAGCATCTTCGGCTAACAGTGGGCACAGGTTGGGCTCACAGAATCCTTTAACTTTCTCAAAAACTTCAGGCTTGAATTCATGGGGCTTGTGTGGTTTGTAGCCTCTGACCTTAAATTTTTCAGGGATGTTATCTGGACTCACCCACTTCCTGTACTTCAGCCTCATATCTGGAGGAATATGAGAGCCATCCAAGACCTCTTGCATGTGTAATGCATCCCCATTTAGGTACTGCAAAGCAAAGAAAGCAGCACGTTCTCGGAATAACAGCAGGACTCCCCGATTCTGCTGATAAGATGGTAAATTGAAGTCCAGTGCCTGAAGGCCCGGGTAGATCAAGACCTGAGCACGGAGTTTGGGGAGGTCTGATCTACCCACAAGGGTCTGGCTCACAGCAGCTGCTAGATTGCCCCCAGCACTGTCCCCACAGACAATTATACGGGCAGGATCCACGCCATAGTGCTCAATATTCTTTAGAAAGTGTATGGTGGCATTAAGGCAGTCTTCGTATGCAGCAGGGTATTTGTGTTCAGGAGCTAAACGATACCTAATACACAAAAGGAGACAACAAAAGTAAGAGAAGGAAATGTCATAACTGTAAATACAAATTTCCTACAGCACCTTGGCTTTCCTTGTGCTGTTTGGACTATTTTTCCGTCAGCTAAAAAACCCTGGTGTCATTATCTGCTAAAAAGGTATTTGTCCAGCAGCTTATCACAGATAAATGATAGCTAGTTGGATGAAGTTGCAAGGACGTAGCGTAGTTGGGATCTTCTTCTCAAGAACAGGACTGATCAGAACTTGAGTGATACAAGTGACACATTTTACTCTTCTGGTGTAGACTGCATCTGGCTTGTGGATGAAGTGATTTAATCAGTCTATACCTCACCTTTATTTAGGGTATTTCCTATTGAGAATTATTTTATTTTTCTTTGTTTATTTAAATAACCAGGACAGAGTTATGTTTTTTCTATATTATTAGTATTAAAATATATTAGCATTTGATTCTTACTGTTAGAAAACTCCTTGTAGTTTTCAGGGTGATTACATCTAATTAAACAGATCACTGAATCACCACCTTCCAACTTTGTTTATTAGTCAGTTCTTAACATGTAAGAAAACTCTCCTGGAAAGCTTCTTTTTGTGTGGTGCCACCATAGCTCTGTGTTGTGAGATATAAGAACCTTACTTTGGGGTCTGTTTGCGCTCTCCCTGCATTAGATTGGGGGAAGAAATGAAAATAGTCCCCTTAAGTTCTGTCTGACCATCTGGGATCCTAGGGGAATGGTTTACTGAGGAGGAGTGTTCCCTCAAGACATGCAACACTGCAGTGCTAAGAAGTGAAAAGATGTAAAAAGACTTCTGTAGGGTAGTACTGATATAACTCACGCAACAGACACAACCACCACCTTGCTTTCTCTGGCAATGTAACGGCAGATCTTTTCATGGGAATCTGCAAAAAGTTGGAGGGTTGTTAGCTGCCCGCTCCGTTTCCAGATGCAATAGCCAAGGAAGGTGGAAGCTTCCTTTTCCCGCCCGACCCTCAC